TTTGGGATTGTAAGGCTGATTTTTAGTCAGGCCTGCACCAGAATTCCTGTTTATATATCAGCTTTTCAGGGCAGATAGGCATGGCATGGTTTATTCCTATAATCCACTTTTTGCTGGGCCTCATCCCAGCTTCTTTAGAGAGGGATTTTCAGCTGCTGCTGAAGCTCACAGTGATGAGGTGACACAGGCAGTTATTTGTACAGGCAAAAGGGTGCAACAATTCAGCACAATGTAAACCAACTGCATGTAATCCATACCACATTGGGAGGTTAGGTTCCTTAAAGCTTAATAAAAGCTTGAATAAAGCTTGTTGTCATTATTTTCTTTCGAAAAATCTTATTTGCCCAATACTTCTTTGAAGTAGGAGGAGGTCTTTTCCTCTCTTATCTTCTGTACCTCTTCTCTCACACTAAAACCTGCACCTGATTGTGGATGTAAAGCTGGTACACTTTATCAATGAGGTCCTGAGACATTCACTGCTGAATTAACACACAGGTATCTTAACACATCATTTTTCAGAGCCAGGAGTGATGGTCTGCCTGCAGCTCACAAAATCATTGCAGCCCTCCTGCATGGGATTTGCTTTCTTTTCTTTTTCACCTTCTAACGTGTTAATGTGTGACCCTGTGTACTGAAAAGCTTTGTTTATCTCAACAGAGAAGATTGTTCCTAATCCTTGACTTGTGTGGATATAATTTTGAAAATTTTTGAATTAAATGTGTGGTGAATGGTAGGGAATTATCTTGTTGCACTGGAAAACAGTCTGGGCCCTGATTAAATCTGTTTGTGAACTGCCTGGTTTCTTTGCTGTGTTCTGCATGACATGGTGATATCTGATGTGATAAGGTTGTTTCACCATCTGCATTTATGCTTTTGGCACATTGCTCTTAGATTTTGATTTGCTGCTTCAGGAAATAGAACTTCCCTTGAGAAGTTACTATAAACACATAAATGCCTTTCTCTGTATTGGAACTGAAATCTTGCATTGAATGCTGACATGGTCTGCACTGAGCATCAGTGGGGACCAGAGTTCCATGTGCTGTTGACAGCTTTGAAACACAACAATGAAAGTCACTTTATCAACTCTTTGTATTCTTTAGATTTGTTTTCAGGGAATCTGTGTAATAGTTGGATGCAATTCGATAGCCAAACAGTTAACAAGAACAAACCAGTTCCAATTACTTGCTACTTGATCCTTGGAATAAACCCACATGATAATAAAGTCCTAAATAATTTAATGAATGCAATGCTGAAATAGCAGCCTGCCTCCATCACCTGGAGATTTGAAGGACACAGATTCCAACTTGGGCATGACAACACTGTTCTCCATGAATTCTAAATGGGAACAGATTTATACATTCTTCTACAGGCTCTGTAGTGGGTTTTTAATAAATTGCTTTCATTGAACTAGATAATATTTAGATAATCTTTCCAGCATACAGTGTATTGTAATTAATAACAACTATTATTAAGCATTAATCTTCCAAACCAGCCATATGTGAAAGGTTCACAGGTCCAAGCTGCTCTCCAATATACTGATTTAACTACTCAAGGTGGACTGAAAACCCACTGATGTTCCAAGGTGACACAGGACATTTGTTAAGCAGAGTTGGAGAACATTTCCAAGAAAACTAAACAAAGCAGTTCGTGGCACCATCACTCAAAATCTGCTTTTGTTGGATTTCCAAATTAAGAGTAGCATGTTCTCTTTGTTTTTCTTGTTCCAGTCCATGCAATCTGAAAGATTTATGGATAAAATCTTGAGTTTCAGTCTCACAAAGTGAGAAGTTGCAGTTTTTATCACAGAGTGAGGCAATTTGACCAGCTTTTAACACCTTGGCAAGAGTTTATGACAAGAGTAGACAACAAAGAAATACAGAGGAGACTTTCCCATCTGACTAAACCAAGGTGAAATATAGAATTTCCAAAGTGCAGAAGGTTGAGGTTATTTTTTTTCTCCCTCTCTTGAAGATAAAATTTCAAAAGCTCTCCAAGGTGGTTTTCAGAAGTTTGGCAGATGCTGCAGTGTTTCAGTGCAGTTGTTAGGAGTTAGTGTTTTTCCTGGGCCAGTTCCCCTCCCATCAGTGTGAGGATGCAGTCTTATGTTACAGCTGGACTGATTCACTGTGGGCAGTGACTAAAAAGGGAGGTCTTGTTTTCTTCTCCAAAGCTTGTTCCTTCCCCCTCCAGTGTGTCAGTGGTATTGCTGCTCTGACCCCCCAGTGAACTGATTCAGAGAACTAAGGCTATAGAAAACTAACTCTTGGAAAAAAAAGAGGAAAATAATGGCTTTTTAACTGATGTAGTGCTCTGATCTCTCATGGGGTCAGGTGAGTGCCAGTGCTGTGACTGGGCTGACTGAGTTGAGTAGTCACAGGCAGGATGAGTGGGAGAGCTCTGAAATGAATGGGGACGTACTGTAAATCTAGACTTTGGGCACACAGTTTTATCAGGTTAAAGATTATTTGTGTACTATGTGGACTGCTGCTGAAAAAAATGGTTTGCTGTTCTCTCTGTGCCTGGTGCCCTCTTTTCCCACATCCTCCTTTGTGGCAGCACTGCTGATTTTGTGGTTATTTGTATCAGGAGATCCAGCTGAATACTTAGCTAACAACAACAGCAAAGGGATTTCAGCTTCCCAAACGTTATTGTTATACAGCAAGGGACAAAGCAGCATGAATTTGTCCTTTGTGGCAGAAGTGCAAATTTAAATTTCCTCAAGTGAGGTTTGATGTTGCATTACAAATATTAATATAGAAAAAGCTTATTTGCCAATTCATTGACACTTAGCTGGTGTGCTGCCCCAGGGTCAAAGACTTTCTTGAAGGATAATTCCCTGAAATCATGTGTGGCATCATCAGTGACAGTTTTGTCTGTGTGATTCTCCTGTAGTATCTTTTCTGAGATGGACAATGAGCCAAGGAGCACTGCTGGGTTTGGGAAAGACAGTGGTGTATGCAGTGTGTGGTGGTCTGCTATAAAATCATCCTCATGTCATCATCTCTGTTAACATAAGTAGCATTTGGATGTTTTTCCTCAGTGTTTCAAATTTGTTCTGTTCAGTTTCACTAAAATATACATGTCAGTGGAGCAGATTATCTCAGATATTTGGGATGGATGCTCTTTGCACGTGACCATGGCTAATTACATTGAGCTCCATCTCTGGGCTGAAGTGCATTTCTGTTCTCTGATGGACCTGGCTGCACTGAGGAAATGGCACTGTGGCCTCTCCAAACACATCTCACATGTACCCATAGGCTCAGGACTTTCTTTTGAAGTTTTTGTTTCATTCAGAAGTGAGATTCAATGCAGTGCACTCTGGCCTGGCTTTTCTCCTTACTGCTGTTTTCTTTTGGGATTACTGTTTGGGCATTGTTTGGTTCAGGCCATACTCAATTGCCCTTGTAATTAATGTGGGACTAATAACCATGTACTAAGTACTCATGTCTGCTCTGGTTTTCTGGGATTGTTTTGACTCTTTCAGCTCCAACTGACTTTTGGGGGGAGTTTTTGACATTTAGCCCCTCTGAAGCTCGAGGATTTCAGTTATGGACAAGCTGCTGATGTTTTAAGCCACAGCCATTAGGTGATAGGACTGTTCAGACTAAATATGACTGCCTGAAATTGGAGTGTCTGTGTGAAGATGAGTCTTCCCCAGATCCCTTGGTGTGTTCCTGGAGTTACCATGCCATGTGTTTCCCCCTAAAGTGGATGTTTGGGTTTGGGCAGATAGTTCATGCCATAAAAAAAGTGGGAGTAGGTCACCTGTTAAATTTTGATTAGATTTCTAATTTAATTAATTTGGAGAAATTGATCTAAGTGTCTGTTTTGGGTTTTATATCCATGTTTCTCAATGGAAGTGGAAGTTGCCAGACATAAGAAGAGTTGAAGGAGCTCCATCCCAGTCTGAAATCAAGAACACCTCTATAATGTAGGTGCTCAGGTGCACATGACAAAATGTACACTCATGCTCTGAGGTTTAAGAACTTCAGCCATACAGGAATATTAATATTACCACTGTAACATGCCATGAAATTATCACCTTACATTGTCATTAGTGTTTGATTGACAGTAATTGTGAAGTTGTTTTCTTCTGCCTTCATAAACCAGGGTGTGCTCTGTAGTTTCTGGAACCTACAAAGTGAAGGCACAGGCTCCTGCCTTCACTTTGCACATTGTGTTTGATAAGTTCAGTCTCTTCCTTGCCTGGATACTTCATATTGTGCTAAAAGAAAGAACCAGTTTACCTTCAGTAATCCAGATTCTGGCTCCTTTCACAGTTGTATTTACAACAAGTTTGTTTAAAGCTGCAAAGACCCATTTGTAGAGTTCTCAGCTGTCACTAGTCAAGAGGATGAAATTAATAATCACTCCCTTTTCAGTCCCTAAAGCTCTTCCTTTCCAATGGCCTTTTGAGATTGGTACCACTGGATAATAAACCCATAGTGCTCAGGTAACCTTTAAAACAAATTGTATTTTACTTGTCCAAGCTTGATTAGGATTTAAGTGTCTTTGGCAGAAATAAAAGATCAGTGAAAGTTCCTACTCCATATATGTATAAGGAATATAAAATGGAAAATCAGTGCACAACAATTAGAGGGTTCAGTTTAAGAACTTTAACTTTTCATGATTATTCTCAATTCATTCACTTAAGTGTCAACATTGCTATTACTGATATAAGTGCCATTTCCAGTATAAAACTCTAAATTTGAAGGAAAGTTGTAAGTATTCTGCATGTGTTGCAACTTATGATGGAAGAGGAAGTTATGGAATGTGAAGCAGGAACTGGACTCACCTGCTGGGCTGTGACACCTCAGAGATGCTGGTTCAAGCTGCACTTTCAACACTAAACACTGAATTTTAAACACCTGCATTTCTCAGTGCTTGAAATTGCTGAAGGTCAAGCACAGGCCAAGTATTTGCCAGATTTAGGTTTTTTCTGCTTTGTTCCCCAGCAGACATTCTATTAAGTGACTGGGTTTTTTTTTCCTCTCTCCTAGGTGTTCACCTCCCACGGACCCACTGTGATCATGCCAACCTGGTTCTGTTCTCGAGAGTGGTTTTTTCACGTGGGAAAATTTGATGAGGGGGGAAAGGTGAGTAATGTGGATGACATCCAGGAACCATCCCTTTGTTTAACAGCCTCAGGAAGCCCTAAACCTGTTATTAAGGAACACTAGGAGAAGGGGTATAGATGAAAACTGAGGTCTAAATAAACCTGGGTCACCCCATGTACCTGTTTTTTAAAAAACAGTCATTAACCAACTGAAGTTGTTTGGGGATAACTCTGGTAATTGAATTGATTGTAGTTAAATCTAACACGTTAGATATGTCAATATACCTGGAAAAATTAAAGGATTCAGACGTAAAAGCTCCTCTTTAGTCCCTGAAATAGATGCAGCAGATGTGAAAGCTAAAAAAAGGTGAGCCCATAGTTTTGTTATGAACTATCTCTGCAAGGTAAGGCAGGTTGGTGAAGGAGATTGGGAGGGAAGAAAGGTGCAGGCAGGATGACAAAGAGATGGAAGTACATTCTCCTGAGGGGGAAGATTTATATCCCTGAGATGAAGAAAGAAGGGAGGAGGGGAGGTCACAATGTGCCATAGTACTACAACCATTAAATCTCTCGTATCCACTTGTCAATCCCAGTTCTTGTGCTTGTCTTTGGAAGATGTTAAGGAGCTTCTCCTCAGCATCAGGACTGAGAGGTTGCAAATTAAATGACTGTTACCTGAGAAGTTCCTCCCCTGACAATTGGGTGTTCTTTTTCTTCAGAAATTTCCTGCATAAATTCAGTTCAGTTGCTTTAAGCTCGTCAGCATGTTTATGGAATAAAATCCATGGGTGTCCATTGGTAGTACCAGAAATATTTTGGCAAATAGATCTAATTCAGGTACATTTGGATCCATTCTGTGTGGTTTGGACCTGAGAGGTTTTGCTTCCAGTAGTTTTGGTGAGATTTTAAGGCTAGAATGGGTGGTTCTGAATTTTTTTTGGGGGGAAGCCTTCATTATTAGTACACTAAAAAAATCTGCCAAGGCTATTTTCTATTTTATTATTTAAACTTCAACACATTATGATTATTATTATTGTTATTTTTATAGCCTCTAAATGAAACCCTTCAGTGCCATATAGTGTGTGTACATACACACAGATATACACACATGTATATGTGTATGAGGATATACAAATATTATTCTTCAGGCTGCCAAAAAAAATATAATTTAAGGAGACAGCAGACAGAGAACAGAATTGTTTAGAGCAGTGAAAAGATTTGCCCTTAATTACTTGGTGGGTGAGTGGAAGAGCTGGGAATGCTGCCTGGCTCCCAATACAATCTACATTCACTGACCCATGCTCTTTATTTCTGTTTTATTATTATTTCTTATCATTGTATTTGCACTCTCTGAAGAATGTTTGACTTCTTGAGCACTGTTAGTAAGCTCAAAAAAGAAAGCAAGCAAGTTAAAGCAGCAGCAACAATAGAGCAGCAAGCCTAATGATAAAGTTCAAGAGGTTAAGTTAAACAGACTATTGTTCTGTGCTTTTTGCTTTTAGTTTTGGGGGGGTTTTCCCTTTGTTTTGTTTTTTTTCGAGTTGGTTTTTTTCTATTTTGCCCTCCCTGTGTAATTGTGTAGGAACTGTGCCACTGGTTATTCAGCCATAATGCACTGACAATCTTAATCCCGATGATTTTGCAGCCACAAAGTGTGGTGTGTCCTCCTAGTTTTAAAAATTACCAGTGATAAGTTAAAGATGTTGTTTGTCCCTGTTGTGAAGTGCCCAACGTGTCCATGCCCAGACTGTGGCTGATACAGAGGAGCTTCAGAGAACACCCTGTGAACAAGGGGCTGAACAAAGCAAAGGACACGAGCAATGAAGTCAAACCTTTGTCAAACCTTTGTCCTCCGTGGGTTTAGAGGACGCAACATCAAGTCCTAAATCTTTCACTATTTAGTGTTGCAAAGTATTTAGCATTGCTCCAACTCGTTCATTTTCATTTGAAAAGAATTCCTTTGAGGGCAAAGGAAGATTTTTCTCTGTGTTATCAGTGGAGCTGTTGTAAACTATACTGAGGACTCTTCAGAATCATCCCTGTGGATGTTCTGACCTGACCCACACTCTGTATTAATCTGATCACGCCCATCTCCATTTTTGAGTTGGTATTTAACAGTGAGACCTGCAAGTGTCCTCTTGCTGCCAGTAAACACAGCAACAGGCCAACAAATCTCCATGTTTTGGCCTTCTCCGTTTGCTAAACTGTTTCAGTGCCAAAAAGCTGCATTTCTCATTTGAAATGAAGTCCAAACACCTGTTCTTCATATTTCAGTGCTTAGAACAAACGGAGGGTAATTCTTCCATGGAAGAAATTGTGATGTGGTGTTTATGGCAACAGTATGGGTGGACTGATAAAATACAAATAGATAAGCTATTTTGCAATCCTTTTTTATTCCAGGTAGATGTACTTATCTCTCCAGCCATCCAAGCTCAAAATGAAACAGATTTAAAAAAAATATTTACACTTTTTTTAGAAATAAAGTTCTTTCTGGACAGGGTCTGCAGTTGTTGGGAATCCTTTTAGGATTAGTTGTTGTAGTCCTTTTAGGTAATCACTGTGGCAATGTCCAAGCAGAATTCTAAATAAGATCTTCATAAATTGTCTCTAAGAACCTGACAGGTTTGTTTTATGCACTAATTAACTAAAATGGTAGAGGTGCAACCTCTGATAAATGATAATTAAAGCAGGACCACTGAGAAGTAGAGAATTTTAGCCAGCTCTGGTGGTGTGCTGAGACTGAGATAATACAATGGAAGTGGCCACAAGCCTATGAAGTAACATTTTAAACAGTATCCCCTGCTAGGAGGAGAGTCATGTGAACCACGTTTGTGACTTCTTTAGGAAACTAAAACGAAATAATCTTCCTGTTATCCAGCAAGTTTGGTAAAGAGTGCAGTGCTTACTGCAAGAAGTAGCAGGACCTTCACTAAACCCTTCAGAACTCACACTTGACATTTAGTGTGGCATTACCTGCATGGCTGGGTTTGCTCCTATAATTTTTTGGTGTCTTCTAATAACCAGCACCATTGTTGAAAAGTAATAACTGTGTCCAGAAGTGTCTGGTATAATGTGGAGAGCAGATTTTGAAGCTGTATCATCTGTTAGAGTGGGGAACTCACAAGTCACGTGCAGTGGTGGACGAGGTGTCTGTTATTAGGGAAGCAAAGTTATTGCTTCATATGTTTAACAGGGCACTTCAGTGAGAAATCCTGAGTACAATAAGAGCTGTACAAATGAGCATTGTTAACCTGCAGACTCCATTCCATGGAAAATTGTACAGTCTTGGCTTTCTCCAGGCACTATTACTCTTGACATTTTATATGCCAAACTTGTTTCTTTCTCTAGAGTTTTACCACAGCTTTGTCCCAAATTCGTGTCACCTCTGTATTTAACCTTCCTTTTTTAAGTGTGTGAGAACTAAAAATGGAGTGAAAGCCTTAAAGTTCTGAACTAATCTCGAAGTGCAAACAGGGGGGAAATTATTCATAATGAACCCCAGATGGAATAGAGTATTATAAGCCGCTGGCCTTTCTGAATACAAACTGTGGCTCCAAACAAAGTGTCTGGAGCTCAGTTTTGATCTATTTTTGTGATAAAAGGTCAGAAAAAACAGGAATTGAGGAGGTGTCAAAATATCCCTGGGTGCACAGGAGACTGCAGCCATGCAGTAAAGCTCTGAGGTAACTCTGGAGGCTGTTAGGCACTAACTAATGCAGTTTTCCATTTTTCTCTGCCAGAGCACACAAATGCCATGCCCTCCAGAAAGGCAAGTGGTTACAATAATGCCTGAGAGGTAAAAGGCTAAGTAGGAATTTGGTTTTTTTTGGAACATGAATTAAAATACTGTCAGTCTGTCAAATAACCGATCAAGGTGCTCTGGGGGAAAATCTGGATAAAACACAGGCACTGCTCGTTAATGCTGAACAGAAATAGATATTTGATCTAAAAAGGAAAGAAGATTGGTGGAGCCAATGATTAATTACACTTTATAAGCTATTTGAAAATTCACCCCATACCCCACGTCTAATTACATTTTCTGCTGGTCTGTTATTAAATATCATTTAGAATTTAGCAGCTCCCTTCCATTTGACTTCCCCATCATCTTTGTTTAACTGAATTTCTTTGTGCCAAGGCATTTGGATGAAAGCAACCTTTTGGAGTTTCCTCTAACCTGTTATTTCCAAACAATGAAGTAAATGTTACAGGCTTTGGGTCGTATAATCAAGGCAAAATGATGTAAAGGCATGATTTGGATGGGAGCCAAAAAATGGAGTGACAGATCTGCAGCAAGAGAGACTTAAGAATATATTGGATAATCCTGTAGAGAAGCTATTAACAGCTATTTAATTCTTTCCATTCACCAATTTTAAGCTCCTTTGAGGAATTAAAGCAATTTGGTATACTCTATCCAAGTTACCCTGATGTTGCTGACTGGTTTACAAAAGGAGTACCAAGTTATAGCCCAGTTTTCCTTGATGCCCCTGATCAAGAGGAAGGACTGAGCTTTTCCAAAACTGAAGTGGTTTTTTTTATTGTGTGGATAGATATAATTCTCTTGTCTTGTTTGTCATCACACTGTTTGTTATAAATGTGTGTACTCTTGAAATCTCCCATTTTCACTGGTCAGACTGCTCTGCACAGGCTGAATCTCCACTGGAAGTGGGCAGGGAAGGGCACCATGTCAAAGGAGACTGAGAGGAAGCTGGATAGAGGGAAAAGAGGTGGATGAGGAAGGTGGGACACATTGATTGTGCCACAGAATCACTCTCCTACATTGGGTTTAGCAGTAAAAGGCAGCTCTTATATTGTGTTTATGCCTGTACAGCCTCATGGTGGGTTCTGTCCAAGACACCAAAAAAAAGGACTCCTGTCAGCCTGAAGTGCTGCAGAAGTTACTGTTGGTCATCCCAGGGCTACAACATGATCTTATCAAGTGTTACAGCATTGCACAGAGAGTCACTCTTGCATTGTCCTCCAAAAACTGCTGATCTTCATCCCTGCTGGTGCTCCTCACCATTACTGATGGTGAAGGTGCAAGAATTGTAACCAGAATTGCTGGTTGTAGTGGTTGTAGTGGTTGGAGGCTTGAACCTCCTTGGAAAATACTTATATTGAGGTGGCTGGAGCACTGTTTGATGGACAGTGATCTGCCAGGAGTGACAACAGTGAGTGATGAGAAGAAGACAAGGGAAGGACTATTGATAATTTAGTTTGATCCCTGAACAAGGAGTTAGTTTAACTCATTAAGTTCTGCTTGACATCCCGTGGTGTATAAAAGATCAGTCCCCTCGTCCCTACAGCCAACCATCAGCACAGCAAGGGATACCTGCCCAAAATCCTGGGTAAACACAAACCCTTCACCTGTTCAGTAGTAATGTGATAAAGTAAACAATGCTTTTGCATGTGGCTGGTGCATTTTGGTTACAGCAGAGAGGGGCAGGCTGTGCTTTTCACTGGGAGCTGGAATCAGTTTATCCCTGAGTGCAGCAGAGGATGTAGAGTTGGATGTTGCCTGTGATGTGGAAAATTCTGTATGTAATCCAGTAACATGTAAACTGTGCAATTTAAATGTGTCCATTGGTGCTGAAGGCTACTGATGTGGTAGCCTATTGCTAAAATGCTGGGTTGGTAACTGATAGTTTAAGCTATGGATATTAATTTTCAAAAAATACATTAAAATATCCCTTTAGTGGTCAGACAGCTTTTCCTTTTGAAGTTGTGTTGTTTGACAAAGATTCCTGGTGTTTAAAATGCCGTCTGGATCCAATAATAGATCTCAGTTGGGAAGAAACTCTTGTGTTGCAGCAAACTTGCACGCTCAAGAGCCTTAGGAAGTCCCATCCCTGCAGGATCCATAACACAGTCAACATCTTTCCTGCCCTGAAAAATGCGTGGCTGTGCTGCTCCTTTGTAATGTGAGAGGCCACTGCTGAGCAGTACAAGGCACCTGCTCCTTCCTAGGGCTGAGTGCACTTTATTCCAGAGTATTTCTGCCAGTTAAAGGGAAGCAAAAGAACCCTTGGAACCAAGCAGCGTTTTGAAGGATCCTTTTACTTTTGCAGTAACTCTGCTTAAATATTCATATTAACGGTTGTCTTGAATAATGTAAATGCTGATCCTGAAGAGAAGGAATTGCTGATATGTGTGTGATGTAATCAGAGACCTGACTCAGAATATGACTCCTGCAGCAAACTGATACGTGCTGCAGAATTTGTGGCCTGATGACACGGTCTGGTGTGTGACTGGAAAAGAGAAATAGGTTTAAACTTTGCTGCTGGCTCAGTATTTCCACTGGAGTCCAGAATAAGAAAAATATGGAAAGGGCTACAAGATAAAAAAGAAATTAATTTTGTGTGTTTCTTGTGTTCTTGATGACTGTGGTTGCTGTCAGCTGCTCCAGCTTCCCCCACATTTCTCTTGTGGCTTTCAGGGTAGGTCCACAAAAATTGTATGAGGTTCTCTAAAACTTTTCTTCTGCATCACAGCTCTTCAACCAGAAGTCAGACAGACATCTGCAAAGGCAGACAATAGCTCCAGCTGAGCTGCCCTCGCTGAGCAGAGCAAAGCCCATTTCATTCAGAGTCTGGGAGTGTGGCCCAACTCGGTGTCTTACATCAGTCCCAGAGAGAGCTCTGGAGCTGCAAAGTCCAGAACTGGAGTTGATTCTGATTTCTCTCGAGATAAATATGTTCAAATGAGTGTTTTGGAGTTGTCTTTCAGGGTTCAGGGTTTTTTCTTGTCTCATTTCTCTTCCTCTCTAACACCCCGTCGACTGCTCAGCCTGGTGGGTATGAGAAACACTCCCTGAACTGTGTTGCTCTTGTAACTGGAGGGCCAGAAGAAACCACAGAGGGATTTTGTGTCCAGCACTTTAATTAGGGAATCTCATTTTCTTAATTATGGAATAAACTCAGAAAATGGGGGGAAATTCAGTTGTTTTTTTTTTTTTTTTAAACTCGGGCTCTTGTTATTTTTCTGGGTTGAAATAGAGTGCCTAAAACTGAGTTTGAGGTTTATGCCCTGGTTATTCATGTGTGTGATATTGTCTACAGAAAGAAATGTATTTCAGTCTCCTTCCTTTCCTTTCCTTCTCAACTTTTTGTTGTTATATTTCAGCTTTTTATTGTTTCTACACTGAAATACTTTGTTTGACCCACCTGGTTTTATATATCAGAGTTTTTTAGTCTGATAAAACCATGTGACCTTTTAAACACTGGGTTGGAGGGAAGAAGTGTCTGTATTTAAACGCGAAAAAATGTATTTCAAGAAGTTGCAGCATTGCAAAATATAAATAGATGCTACTTTTTTACCTTCTATATAAGGCTTTAAAGGTGGGTTTATGCTTTCATATACCACAAAATGTAATTGAATACCACGAGCCATATGATTGCCCTTCTGACACTAACTCTGGCACGAAGGTTTTCTGATTTTTAGGTGGGAAATGTTGCAAATGACTGTGAAATCTCTAATATTTCTTAGAACCTGCTAGATCCACAACTGTAGGAGCTTTTTTCTTGCAGTGTTTCATCAGGATTGTGTACAATCCCATTAAAAAGAATGTACCGTGGAAGGAAGTTTCAAAAAACAAGTAGTTCTGTTTTCAGATGTTGCCTCATTCTGAGGCTGCTTTTATTCAGGCTTTTATTGAGGTCTGTTATTGTGGGGCCTGAGTCACCTTTCCTGGGGAGAGACCAGTATTTGTACAACAACCAAAGAAAGAAGGGGAATTCTAGCACAACATAAAAACGCTCTTCTGAAGTCACTGATCCCTTTCAGTATAAACTGTTTGGTTATGTGGCACTTCAGGCTGCACAAACTGTTCAGTGCTGGGTTTCTTTCATTTTGGATTAACCTGTACCAAGCTTGATGTCCCTGTCAAAATGAGATGATGAAGATGATTCTTCCACCTCTGTCCTTGCAGTCAGCTGCACTTCATTTTTAACTAGCACTGCTTGGGTTTTTAGTAGCTTTAGCCACATTTATTTCATGACTCATTAGATAAATTCATTGAGATGTACACAAATAATCTCATAGAATGGTTTGGGTTGGAAGGGACCTTAGAGATCATCCAGTTCCACCCCCTGCCATGGTCAGGGACATCTTCCACTATCCCAGGTTGCTCCGAGCCCCATCCAACCTGGCCTTGGACACTTCCAGGGATCGGGAGTCCACAACCTCTCTGGGCAACAGAGAAGTTGTGTCTGTGAATAAAAATTATGTTAAACCAAATTCATTTGGCAGAAAAACAAGATGTCTTGAGGTGTAACTGAATGCTGGTCGCTGACTGGTGTGAAATAACTGCTTCTGTTCCAGGGGGTCCCAGAAGATCTGCTGTTTTTTTATGAACACATCCAGAAGGGTGGTGAGGTCTTCCGAGTGAACCGCTGCCTCCTGCTCTACCGGTACCACCCGCAGGCTGCGACTCATTCCGTCCTGGAGTAAGCTGTGGGGTTTGGGAGAAATGAAAAATTGCCTTTATTGCGGTTGATAGGCAGCAAAGATGCTTAATGTGTTCCAGACATTGCACAGCAAAACAATTACCCGGTTGTGTGCGCGTTTGTTTGTTTGTTTGTTTGTTTGTTTAAAAAGGCTGAAAAGCAAGCATTACATAAATACGTTGGTAGTTTTGATGGTGGAAGGTCAGTTTTCTGTTTGTTCTTGCTATAAATTGCTTTGGGGTAACATCCTGTGATGCTGGAGTTGAAATGATGAATGGAAATCTTTTGGTGCAGATCCTGCTGCCCACAGGCTGTCGCTGCACTGGTGTCTGTGACTGGGTGAGGCAGGAATGGGCTGGGGCCACCTCAGTATTTGGCAAATATTCTAAGAAATTGTTTTTTCCTTGCAGCTGTTTCTGAAATAATTTCACAATAGGTACTGTAACAGCAGGGGAGCATTTTGGGGGCTGCATTATAGCAGTGCTGTTTTCCCAGTGCCCAGTTACTCTTCCTTCAGGCTCTGCAACCCATCACGTGAGATCTCAGAACCTGCCTGAGTAACCTCCCTGCTCCTAAGCACCTTTACAGTTAAAATTTAAAAATTCAAAATTTAAAATCAAAAATTTAAAGAATTTCTTGCCCCTACAGCAGAAATAAAGAATCACTTGTGTGGTTCTGTATCTGATCTGATGAATCCCTGTTCAGAAGCAAAGGGTGAAGCAAGCAGTGAAACAATAACTTCTTCAATACTTTGAACATGGTGGCAAGAATGTGTTTAAAATATACCCTAGTGGTGAAATTTTATTGGGGTTTTTAATTGGGATTTTTAATATGTGAGGGTTTCATTCTCACAGTTTTTACCATGTGAAACATAATATAAAAATGTAAATATATATATAATATAATTTTTTTTAATGGTAAACCTTAGTTTCAGAATCGCTGTCTCAGTTTTTAAAAAGTAAACAGAAACTTGTAGTACCAACAAAAACCTCCTTCTGAAAGAAAACCCCAACAAACCCAAACCTTTAATCTGATAATGTGCTGCGTTTACATATATTATTTTCCTATTTTGAAGGGTCTAATCCATCTAAATCAAATGATGAGGTTTGAAAAGTCCCTGAGGATGTTTAGGGTAATTATCTCAGGTGCTTGCTTGTAAGCAGTTCCCTGCTGCCTTTCCAGGGCTTCTCAGCCCCTAAAGGAGATGTTGAATTGCCAGTTGCTGATTCCTCAACGTGCTGCAAACTGAGCCAAAGTCGTTCCTTTCTCTTGTGCACTGAGAGAGTGCACAATTTTTAATAGAAAATTACACGAGTTTTACTGCTCTTCAGGAGTCCCCCACCAGGATCACAGTGGTAATTAAGTAAACCTGTTTTCTTACTGATTGATGATATAAATGCACTTTTCAGTCATAGATGTGTGGCTTTGTAGAGCTGAGTAGTAAAACTAAATCATTCCTGTGTGCATTTTGGTTGTCTATCACTATGTTATTGTATTGCTGTAAATACTATAACATGCTAAGCATAAATAGCACGTGATATAGTGATCATGATTAATGTCACTATAGATCTTTATATAAATACATATATACACCTATAAAATAATTTAATTATGAAAAGGTCATTCCAAGCAAATAGAACATATTACTTGGATTTCACAAACAAGCGTGAGGTAAATTATTTTCCTTTTTGTTGGTGTTTGAGGGGATTTTTTCCCCCTCTTTTAGATCATTCTGGCACTCAGGGGCCAGCTTTTCAGCCCCGCATCGTGGGATGCTGGAGCTCCTGGAAGCCTTTTGCTTGCGTCTGTGGGAAAGCATCCTCTTCTTGGAAACGGATTTGTTTTGAATTTACTGCAAGCTGTTGCTTATCCAGATCTACAAGGTTGTGTGGCACAAGCCCCCTGAATTACAGCACGCTGGGGGAATGTGGAAACGCTGGGAGCTGTTTCAGATGTGCGGCGGGGACGTTCCAAATTTCGCGTCTCGTTCTGAGAAATCAGGGGAGGCCGTTCTTCCCCTTGGCTTTCTGCTGGCCCTGCTGGTGGGGATGCTTGGTGTGAGCTTCCAGACACGAGGTTGTGCAACAGCTCTTCATCCTGGCTCGTTGCTGCCCGCGTTGTTGAAGGGTTGGCAAGTGTTTGTGTCTGAAGACTGAGGTGCGTGTTGAGCAAAAAGAGATTAACGAGCTCATCACAAAGGTTTAAGTTTATAATTTAAATTGAGTCTTGCCTAACTCGCCTTGTGGTCACCCCACCTTATTTAATTTGCGTGTTCTGGCTTTTCTAGAAGCCTTTTTTGGGGGGGGTTGTTATGTTGAGCAGTTTTCTGTGGTATTTGTCTTTCTGCCATTGGCCCGTGTCATCTTCAAATTTTGACTTAGCCCAGACCTGGATTTGGAAATAGTAACTCACCAGCCAGATTAAGATCTTGTCTGAGATCAAAATTATGCTTGTAGGAAAGTTGGATTTTTTTTTTTTTTTTAACACTTATGCCTAATTTCAGTTTTAAACAGCAGAGCTGGTTACCAGGACTTGTTTATGCAAAGGTGAACAATTCCATCTTCTCAGCAAAGACAACAGTCACTTGTAACCTGTGATGGACTGATTTCAGTTTATGTGGGTGTCTTTCAGAACCGTGCAGGGGAAAAAAAAGCCTGACTTTGCTTTTTCAGACTTCCTAAAACATATGTACAACTACTTGGCAAGTGAGATTTGGTTCTTTTTTTGTTTAGCGTGTATAATTGCAAACACTCACGTTTTTTAGGTCATTTCCTATGATTAGTATCCTTCTGGAACGAATATCTGGAGTTGGGAATGTCTGTGAAGCAGGAAACACAATCTTATTTGCATTCTCCCTTACCCTGGGGGCATCAGTCTGTGTTATTAAGTGCTCTGGGTGCGTGACAGAATCTGCACCAAGTTCAGTGTCTATATTTAGATTTCGTTAGGAGCGTGCAGAAATATAGGCATTCATCTCCAATCCAGGATGGATACCTGCTGGATGGGAATGAGCAAGACAAGTTCTGAGGATCTTTAGCCAGGAATTTACAACACAAAATCCCACACCTTGTACCTCTTGGATCTGAATCGCTTTGCCTCACGTTGCAGTTTGTGTCCCGGGGCTGTGTGTGCTCGGGGCTGCAGAGCCACGTTGCACTGGTGTGATATCAGAGCTGGCTTTGGAGTGAGAAGTGCTGCAGTAAGAGAGTTTGATGTATAATAAAAACACTGTAAAACTCACAGATCTTTATCTTGCTGAAGTGGAGAGAAAGGGACTGTATATACAACAATGAACCTCACTGAGAGATGAAAGCCAGCTTGGAACAAGGTGAGCAATAAACCAGTGCACTTGTCTTTGGGCACCGTTGCTCACAGACAGGTGGTTGGGGAACTTTGCTAATCCTTGTAGCAAAATGCATTTTTTTTAGTCAAGAAAAATTTAATTATATGCAGAAAATAAGTTTTATCCCTTCTGTCTGAGATTCAGGTGGTTCTGTTTCAGGCAGAAAAGGTGAAGTGCATCTACAAGGGCTCAGTAATTTCATATCCCTGTATTCAGAGCAAGTATAATATTGGTCTGCAGAAATAACCAAAATTACATAATCTATTGAAACCATCTGGTTTCAAGCACTGGAAGTTTCCAGTGTCATCTGAGCAAAGGAGGACAGGCACTTGGCCTGAAACATTTGGCTGTTCCAGAGGTGCTCTGGGTCTCTATCAGTGATGAGCACAGGAATGCCTCCTTCATTTCCTGCAAAAACATACACGTCCAAAAATAGGCAGGAGAGAGGAATAGCGTTACATATTCCTGTACAGCTGAAATAAAGATGAGGTCAACTGCATTTTTATCTTCCATGCTTGCATTTGGCACTTCAATTAAACATGGAAACTAATGACCTCATTAGATTCTTGAAAAGTAAATGCCATTAACATTGATAGTCTCTGTCTTTCTTAATAAGCCTTTCATGAAAAATAGGCCACAATGCAAACCATGCCTCAGCTAATGACCCGTGGCCTGAGGATGAACTCAGACATTAATAGAACCTATTAACAGTGTAAATGTAATAACTCAGTGGGACGATATAGTCCAGCAATTAATAAGTTCACATGAAGTTCAACAGAACAACAACGACAAAAAAATATCAGTTTATTCACCAGCATGGCCGAGGTTCAAACGGGATTTATTTCTGAATTTCCTGTGGACTGTGAGGACCTTGAATTCTGTTCTTCCAGCTCTCACTGTGGTTAAAAAGTTCTCTGTTCTTCCACTATCGATCAGGTGAGATTCACCTATAATCCAGAACTCTCTTATCCTGCCATCAGTAAAAAGCCACTGGAAGGGGCTGTTCACTTGGGCAGCTCCTCTTCCTGCCTGGTGTCACCTGAGCAGTGTGGGGGCCAGTGTACAGAGAAAAGGTCAGATTTATGGATCTATAGTGTTACTGGGGATGGCAATCAACGCCTAAAATTCCAGTACTGTTTAGGACATTGGGCTTGTATTTCTGCATTTCTCAAGTACTTGTACATCTGTCCTTGCTCTGCTGATTCACTTATGTAGCCTCGCTGGGGGAAGGAGGGGAAAGGCTCTCAAACAGTACGGTGAGGTTTGACTGAGCTCAGGCATTAAATCATGTTGCTTTTATTGTCACATTATCTTTCATTTCAAAATAGGAGTAGAGCAGATGTTTCTTGACTCCTGTGTTCAGTCAGTGGTGCTCTAACAGAGCACCATTGTTGCATTACTTGGGTAGATGGTCTGGTAATAACTATTTGGGGCTGAGGAACACACGGCGTAGTCATTCTCACCCACTGCATGAATACCCTCATTTCACTCCTGCAGAAATTTGGCTCCTCTTCTTCCTTCCAGACGACATAACTGATGAGTATTGAGGGGCCACGGCAAGTGAGAGCTTAAGGAAAATTATGTAAGCCCCAAGAATGGCTTTCCAAGTGGAAAAATGCATACTTCTAACGTTTCTTTTGTGAAGATGTGACAAGAAAATGAAAGAAATGGGTAAAATAATGTATTTCAAGAATTAGGGACATAGGATATTAGGATATGGGAGCAAACTTGAACAGTGAGAAGAATTTTATCCCACCTTCTGGCTGAGGAGACTCTTGTGAGCTGAGCACAGGCTTGGAAATGCTCCTAAAGGCTACTGCAAATTGCTTTCTCCAGTCCTTTTTTGAGCTGGGTAGGAAAAGCAGCCTTGATTTGGGGTGATGTGGAGTAATAATACCTCCTAGGTGTTGCTGGTGGCCATGAATGTGTAATAATGCATAATCTGAAAATAGCCGTGAGAATCCTCTCCCGGCAGTGGTTTGTCCAACTCCTGGATCGTTTCAGGCATTTGCTTTAATCATCCTTTGCACGTTGCTGCAGCTCCTGTCTGCTGCACCTGCACTGGCTCGGAAAGGGTGGGAAAGTGGCATTCCCTTATCCCTCCAGGCAGGAATCCCAGTTATCTCTTCTGGAAACATCAAAAAATGTGGCAAATGAGGTGAACCGGAGGGGGGGTAACCGAAACTCTCCCTTGACACCCCCTGAGCATCTCTTGCTTCAACGTGTGAGATGGTGAAAACTCGCTGTGCACAAACAAAGGTGAAGTCTGTGAGTGGCACTCTAAAGTCAGTCACAAATTCTCCCCTCAGTCCTGTATTTATCTCTGCTTGCACTGTTAAAAATATTTCGGTGGTTAACTCTAGACTGCAAAGTGTTCAATATAATTTCATTTTTTCAATGGAGAAGAGTACAATGGGTGAGTTGTAAGTTCTTTTCTGTGAGCGTTGTCATCAGAATGCCTCATAGTGATGCAAGCAAAACTCACAACTGGTTTCATTTTCACAACCCAAAATAGGTGCTTAAGAAAGCTGTTTATTGGTGCTTAAATGAAGCTGTGTGACAGTATTTGTATGTTTGAACAATGCTCCAATTAATTTGGAGTTTGATAACTTTTATGTCCTTTTATTTCTGAGTGCAGTTCCCTTACATACTTTGACCACTTACACTTCTCAAAATAACATTCATAGGTAAGATGGGGCCAGTAAATGTTATTCAGTCTGAAATCTTCTATCAGCAATGAGATTTGAGTTTTACCTGCATAGGGACTTTTGTGGCATAGAGGCTCCCATCACCTGGACATCAAATGCTGTCTGGAAGAGCCAATACTGCTGTGCTGGGATCTCCATGACAATTAAAAACATTTTCTGTGCACCTGGAGATGGATTGCAGTGTTTGCACTGCAACTAGAAATTAGTTGATAATTCTATTTATGCCTTGTAAGGTTGCCTGGTTTTTAATTTTGCTTTCTTAACGTTGCAAACTCAAGTGGAAAAGAAACTTGCCGGTGTCACTCAAGCCAACAGAACAGGTTCTGAAATTCCTCTGGAATGTAACACAGGGTTATCCTTCTGAAGTCACATTTCAAAGGAAAATCACTTTAAAAACTTTTCCATTTACGTGCAAAGCAATAATCTTCCTTTTTAGAAGCGAGCAGAAGCTCTAAAATCTCTAGTAAAGCGATCCTGGAAAAACACTTGACCTTCATATTTGGTTCCTTTAACTTTCCTTCTGGGAATATATTATGCTCTAATGAACATGGAAAAAGGCAAGTGTCAAAGGATGCCAGCAGCAGTTCAAGCAGGAATGCAGTTTGTGGTTGCATTAGAAGAGATTTGTGATCAAATCCAAGAGTTTTTTCCCTCCATTAGTTGAAATGCTGGTGCACAATCGTCATCCTCCAAACAGGGGGGAGGTTTTATGTGGAGTAGCTGTTGTGCTTGGGTGCATTTATTTGTGCATGAAACCCCTTCCAAGTTACCACACCAGGGTCAGTGATGAAGTGCAAAGAGGGATTTGGCTTTGCTGAAGTGAATTGCTGGATCTAAGGAACAATCCCAGCAAGAGTCCCTTTGCCTGAGTGTTATGAGGGTTTTCAAACCCATAGCGTGGGGCTGTGATGGAATGATGGGAATAAGCAAATGGAAAAACCCATTTGAAGAAATGCCTTCAGAAAGGAGACACTATTAGGTGTTCATCAGAATTTCCTATGAAAGAAAGTTTCAACTCAAGGTGCCTTGTTCAGGAGATGTAGGTTAGGAAGGTTCATTTGTCAAGCCATAAACTGAGGAAATCAATGTATTCTATCAAGAAAATTGTTTGTTAAGTCTGAGATAAGTTATGAATATTAAATGAACCTGGACAGAAAGCAGATGTTTTTAACAGCAGGCAGTTTCCTTTAATCCACTGTAAGTGATGCAGTCCTAAATGTTACTTTATAGGGTGGAGCACACACGCACACGTGGGAAGTGCTGTAGTTGTCAAAGTGAATTTGCCAGTTGGGAGGAAAACAAACTGCTTTCCTTGACATTGTCTCCTCTTTGAGAACCTGCCTTGAACTTACTGAAGCTCTCAGTGGGCCCTCAGTGTTTAAAGCTGTTGGCTGTTCCAGAGCCATGTGGTTCATCATTGGGTATTACTGTCACAGTTGTTTACCTCAACCACTTGGCTTAAATTATCTTGTGGAACTTATCCCAAAGATGAAGACATGAAGGTGTAATTGGACCTAGACATCTGCCAACTTGCTTTTTTTTTTTTCCTGGAGCATGTTTTAAGAAGTTTTATGAGACATACCCCTTCATCCAAAAAAAGAAATATAAAAAATTTCCGCTGCTCTTCGTTCCTAGAAATGCAGTTTCTTGTGAAAGTCGTCTTCAAACAAAGGCACAGTCACATTTGTGTCACTGCAGAATAATACTTTGGAACTTTTACAATTAAATCACTAATAATAAATAATGTTTTGGTGTGATTTTTTTTTTGTATTATGTGAATCACTTTGGTCAGGTTTACATGTAGGGGAGTGTATGCATATAGGGTAATAATAGATAATATTATATTTGGTTTATGTATAATAATAATAATATATATAATATTATTATATAATATATAATGCTAAAAACTTCACAGATCAAAATCCACCCTTTTTCCAACTCTCCAGGGGAACCATCTGGAACCACCGAGTCAGATTCCTTGAGGACAGAGTCCTGAGCTCCTGGACATCCTTCACCATTTGGAATGCTGGCAAGCAAGGCAAGAAGCTCTACAGAAGTTTGTCACCAGCTAACAGGAAAAAGGTGAGCTAGTAAGTGGGTAAAAAATGCACAAAACCACTTCTTCTCTTTCCTATGCCACTTCTGATTTAATGTAGCAAATTTCTCATCAGGTACTTTGTCCACAAAAGTCCTAGTTGATGATTGATATAAATTGGGGCAATCCTCAATATTCCAGATGATGCATTTTTTCCTTTTAAAATGCCATGTTACTTTATTTAGAGCTTATGGTGTGTACTGAGAGCAACATGCTGGTAACTCAGTGCAGTAGTAGGTGAGTTACACTGTACAGCAGTGTCTGGTCTGTAGTAGCCAGTACTCAGGGTGAGCAGAGTAACTCTTTATTTGGATGGTGTGATGCTAAACTGCCTTGTCCAGGCTCCTTCATACATAGTTCCCAGTTCCAAAGTGGATGCTGGACAGGTCCCTGTGGGACGTTGGATCCCAGACTGATGTGGGATCAGTCTGGTCGGCCCTGTGAGCAGTTGTGCTGTGACTCCCTTTGGAAAGCTTGATTGCCAAAAATCGGGGTGAGGAGTGGGGTGAACAGGCAAGTGGAAACTGTTGCACATGACTGTCCAATTCACAGTCAATTGAAAATGTGGAGGTTGCTTATATTTGGCAGTGGCAGACATTTCTCAGGACAGATTTGTCTGAGACTCCAAATACCTTATTTTTATAGCATTTTCTAGTGTGCAATAACTTTCTGTTAGATAAAGGCTGTAGGGCTGATGTCAGATGGCTGTTTCTTATAAAGAGCCACAGAACATTCATTTTATGGCTGGATGTGTTTTTCTTTTCTTAAGAATATGGATGGAAAGACAAAATGACAAATATATATATATAAACCTGATTAATGTGGTGGCCCTGAGACCACACACATCTGAAAAAAAATAGAAGACATTTGTATACACATAGTTAAAATTACTGAATAGACACAGGAGACACTCAGTCAATGCACAAAGCAAAAATTGAACTGAATTTCCTGCTTGATGTTCCAATGCCATTCCAAAGCCATCCCTCAGTCATTGCCATCATGTGGCAGGGGGTGAAGTGTAGGAAGAAAGGAGATTAAATGCTGTGTGTCCCCAGTCAAAGAGGACAGACCTGTCCACTCAATGTGTTACCTTGGCCATGAAGTGCAGTGTGATTTTGGGAGGTTGATGGAAATATTCTCTTTTGTTAGTATTTTGCTGAGTACTTTGAATTCCTGACTGACTGACCAGCAACAAACAATTGCACTTGTCTGTCTGCATAATTAGGAGAATTAGAAAATAAGCTCTGAGGGAAGAGATGACAGCTGGTCTGGTAGATTTTTGAGATGTTACAGTAAAAATAGAGCATGCTGGTTTTGTAGCAGTGTTTCATCATCTTAGATGTGTTGGTTTTTTGTTTTATTTTGTTTTCTAGCTTTTTTTTTTGTGCCCAGCCAAGATGGAGATGGATGCTGAGGTAGAGCACCTCTCCAGCTTTGGGTTACATCTGTAGGTGACCCATTCAGGACTTCACATCACACAAACACTCGAAGGTGTCACAGCAGAGACGATAAAAAGGGCAAGGGAAAAATAATATTGTTGGGGTTTTGCCACTTTCCTGCCAGAGAACCCAAGCTCAGCTCTCCTCCAGGAGGGAACAGCCCCCACTCCCTGCACCCCAGCACGGGCAGTGTGGTTCCAATTAGCTGGATCCCGGCGTTCCTTCCAGCTGACCTTTCCATAACGTTTGCTTTGGCAGAGCTCTGGGCCCTGATGCTGTTTTGCTTCTGTCAAGGTTACAACTGCACATATTCCAGTATGGTTTGGGTTGATACTGAAATATTGCACTGAGCATTAACCCATGAGTTACTGGATGCTGCTCCAGACACGTTCAGGACGTGCCAGATGCAGTTGCACGTGCCAAGTGTGACTCATTTTGCACATGTCCTGCAGAAAACTACTGCTAAAATGCAGGCACAGTGATCCTTTTTACCTTATGCAGAGTAATCAGACTTCACCCCCTGACTCTGACGTGTTATCTGAAGCATTAAGAGGTTTTCTCAATAACCAGCAAAGATAAATAGCTTCAGAAAAGGACTTGTGTCATCCCAAGTGAGAGCAGAGGCTAATTTCTGATTAAATTATTGTTCCCTGTAGTGATTAAAGCACTAGTTCTCTGTATCTGTTCAGGCTCATTGTGATTGTTGTTCTAAATTCGTGGCTTTTCCAAAAGTGAGATCCCAAGTCTGTGCAGCTCAGTCAGAGCTGACACTTAAATGATATCCTCATGTTTTGTGTAAGTCACTGGCAAAGGGCTGTAAGTAGTGAAAACATCTCACTTCTCCCAGAGCTAATCAAAGGATTATGCTGCTGGAGTTTCAGGAAATAAAATCATATAATTTGCAGTAGGTAATTGGTGGCAGTTTTAATTTTATTCTAAATTAATAACAGTAAAAGGTCGGTAGAGAAACTCCATGTTCTACTTTCCCTCAAAAATCCTTCAGGTATTTTGTGACTAATCTGCAACTCTTGCCAAAGACTCTAAAATCCCATGTGAACAAAGGCTGTAAATAGTTGTTACTTCATCCTTTCCAGCCCTAAAAACAACAAAATATTTTTCCTGTCTCACCCTTTCAAGACCACCTTAACAAGATTTAAGCTTTCATATATTCTGTTAATTATGAGGACACTGGAGATTCAATATCACTTTGAATCTACAAGTAGAATCTCGTGTTGTCTTGTAAATGGAGGACCTGGGATACAAATTCATCAATTATGTAAAATTGACACCTTTAAAACACAATTCCAAAGCCCCTTAGGGCAAAATATGATTTATTACATTGATACAATTGTCATTTTCTTATCTTAAAGGTCCATTGTGTAAAACAGTGTAGTCTTAAAAGGTCCAGCACCCTTTGAAATGCAGGTAAAATTGCCAAAATTAGCTGTAAAGTGTAATTAAATTTATTTAATTTACCCCTCTAACCTTAATGTTAGTTGGTTTTATAATTAAAGTCAGTTTAGGCTCTTGACAATGTCACCTGTGCTCTGTTTGACTGTTGCTGCATCCTTTTATTGAGGTTCAGAATTTCGTTAGATGTCCTGAGCCTGACTTTGGTTGGGCTGTGGAGTCACAGCAGGGTGTTTTCTCAATTGCAGAAAATTTGGGACACATACCCTGAGGATAGATAATACCCCCCAAAAAACCTATTACATACAGCTTGTGTCATTTTGTAATTCTGAAAAAAACCCTAACCCTAAACTCTACTAAATCTTCAGGAAGAGGATTAATGAGTTTGAACTGTCAAGCTTAGGGTGTGTAAAAAACCCATCTTTTTCAAAAGAGGAATGTTTCTAGTATTTTTAGAAGCTGATAAACAAAGCAATTGCATTTCTTGTGCTGACTAGGTCTTTGTGGGATGTTTGAAAAGCACAGCTCTGTTTCATGCCAGACAGCATTGTTTCTTAGAAAACAAAATTTAGGCAATTCCAGGAAGCAGCGGTCTGGGTATGTTCATACTCAGTAACAAATTATTGCTTTAGTCTGTTTGGAAAACAGTGTGAATTTGAATTATGGTTCTGTTAAAAGACAAAAGGACACCTCAGCAATTCTCTCTTTTCCTTCAGCCATCTGTATGGTGAATATTAAAATGATGCTTTGTCTCCAAAGCGTTCAGGCAAAACTCCAAGGCTCAGTATTTTTGCTAAACAGCAACACACGAAAAAAATTATTCCACTAGTAGGGATTTTTTTATGAATTAATTACCATGATCTCAGTATTCTTAGGGAAATTCTGCTTCCTGGCTGTTCCCTTCTTGATTCACACCACTGACAGTGGTTCAGTATTAGCATTTCTGCAAGAATGAAGTCAAACAGACCTTTTTTTGTTTAAAACACATCCGTCGTGTCTATAATTTCCAGCTGAAGATGGAAACCAAATGTTTTTTGGGATGCTACATGTGCCTGGAGGGTTTTCTGAGCTGTCTTGTCTGCTCTTTTATTCTCCATCAGACTCCAGCTAAAAGGAGAACTTCAGCATTAACGTTTAGTGTCACTTCCGAGGGCTGAAAATAGGGCTCAAATGGCTCACAAAAAAGGAGGGGAAAGGATGAAATAAGCACCAACTAATTAGTGGCCTGGAAACAGTGCTTTACACAGCCAGGCCCTGAAGGTTCTCTATGACAACACTGTCTGCTGGTGGCAAACTCAAAAGCTTCAGAAAGTACTTTGAAGGCCCTTTTTCCTGGTTCAGTGACCACTTAAAATCATCCCTCGGTTTCTCTTCACCTTTTTCCAAGAGCAGCATCACCAAACCATGTGACTCAGCTCTGATCCTTCACAGAACAGAGGAATGTCTCAGTTTTGTAGCATTTTAACCACTCTAAAAGTACATGAACAGCAGCAGGAGAGTGGAGTGGGGACATGTAAAAGAAAAGAAACACAGAATAATATCATACCCACCTTGACTGTGGAGTGAGAAGTAGAATGACAACGTGAAAGTGAGTTAAAAGCCTCCAGAACAAGGAGAGACAGAAATGACATGTGAAAGATTCAGTTAAATCCGGGTATAAAGCATCTTAAAATGATGTGAGGTAAAGTAGAGGCTTCATTTTGGACTAGAATAAATAGTTCAGGGTGAAATATGGCCAGGAAAGCTCCTTGCTCCTTCCAAACGAGAAGATGGGCTTTTTGGCAGCCTCTGTTTTGCCAGCACAGAGATTTCACACCTGAAACATTCCTGGCATGACTCAGGTAGGAGGAACCTGCTCTAGAGAGATGAGACACTGGCAACAAGATATAAAGGCAGGTGTATGTTGTATGGAACAAGGGAAATTCTGTGAGTCCAGTGTTCAGCAGCTTATTTTGCGTGCTGGGTTCTGGTGTTCAAATTCTCCTGAGTGACTTTGCTATGGATCATGTGCAGAGGGGGAAGCTGCTGCTCTCCTCAGTGGAACAGTGTCTAAATGGAGCAATGAAATGCAGGCTGGGGATTTAAAGATACCCACAGCTTCTGTCCTGCTGCAAGGCTGAAAAGGTGAAATAAAAGCAGCTCCTGATGCAGAAAATCACGCAGCTTGTGGCACAGAGTTGTTTGCTGGTTTCTGGAGATGTTTATGCCTCTGCCTGTCTCTTGCTCTGTTTGGCATTAGCTGTATCTATTTAAACTTGCATTGTGATGCTTTCAGTTGCTTTGTTTTGACGTGAATGGCCAGAATTGATTTCCCTTTTGCAGAGATGTATATTAATGTGCTTCCGAGGCTTTCTGCAAGCTGGGATGGAAGAATTATAAATAGAAGAATTAACAGGGTCACTGGGAGTTTAGAACAGATGGAGGATTGTGTGAGATATGGAGAGAAAGGAGTAGGGAAGATCTGCTCCTGTGGGATTTTGGAGAGTTTGCAGGTTGTCTCTTTGAAGGTGGCTTTTATGAGAGCAGCTGAAGTAACGAGGAGGGAGAGGAGACAGTGAACAGGAGACCATTTATTGAAAGGGTTTTCCATTTTTTATCACCTTCTACTCAGTTATTCACTCTCCCATGTAAAACTTGCCTTTGGAATCCTCCCAACTCAAGCAGACCTTGAGAATGTGCTGTAATTCTGTTTTCTTGCTTCCTGTAAGTGATGGTTACAGAGCTAAAGCAAACCACAGGTGAAAATAAGGTGAGGGAGTAAAATCCTATGAAGATCATTCACCATAAAAGGACATCACTGGCCTGATGAAATCTTTCAGTTTTTCCATTAGGAAATCTGAGTGGACTGGGAAGTGTGAGGAAACATTCCCTGCAGCAGAACAAGTCACTTGGGAAACAAACAATTAATTGTAATCATAGCAGAGCTCAAACAGGCAGGTAGTCACACCCCAAACCCACTCTGCTGTCATTCCTGGTGACGTTCCTTGTCCTTCTGAGACTTCCTTGGTTGTATATTTGGAGGAGGATCAATCTGCTGCCCATTAATCCTCTTTTCCCCAGGGAGGTCTGATGGCCCAGCCTGGGTGTCCCTCTGTGTTTATGAGGCAGATCCAGCCAGAGAAGGGCTTTTATCTTCCTCAAACGTGTCTTCCCCCAGCAGAGATTGTTTTTGAGTAAATATCTTATCTTTGGAGCTATGTAAACTTTCTCTATGAGGGAGAAAACTATGTCTCCTTTTTCCCTTACACCACTGTTAATGGATGTTGCAATCCATATTTATACAAATTGCAGTAATTCCATAACTTGTCTATAACAGATACCCAGCTGTGTCCTCCAGTTTTGAGCTGAATTAGCAGTCTTTTTCCTTTGTTTTGGAATTGTACAGATTTTCATACAAGTGATGTTCAAAACAAAAATATGTAATGATTTATATATTTTGCTAAAACTGAAGTGTGATATGAGGACTCTGCTGTAAGCTTAAATGGTGTCACACTGTCAGAGGCATTGCCAAAGAGTCCTTTTGCTAAAAAGAGGGAAGAAAAACAGCAAATTGAGACTGTTTTATGGCTTTATAATTCATAGGTTCCTCCCAGGGAGGCAGGAGTTCATGTATGGGTAGATGGTCATCATAAAAGCTACAAGAAAGAAGCCCATTAATGCAGGAAAATAAATAGGTAACTCTGGGTTTATCCTGATAGAGTATAAAGTAAATAACTCACATAAGCCTGATGCCCTGAGTTCTCCTTATAGGATAAACAACTGTGCCTAAGTCCTGTATTTAGACTCCAGACATGGCTTTGCTTTAATTGGAAAATAAATAGCGTGTGTCAGAAAAACAGTTGACTGAGATTTTTGGCCACCCACATGGTGAACTGCCTGGCAGAAAAATTGCCCATTCAAGTCTGACCTGTTTTACACTACTGTAAATATCAGATTTTAAGCTGGCTGAGTCCATTGAGAATTACAGAGGGAGATACCTCAGTGGGAACTCAGAAGAGGGTTCGAGTTGTTTCTATTTTCCAAGAGAAATTTGTCACAGACTCACCTGTATTATTTTTTTTCTTGGAGCTGCTCTTCCCAGTTTCATGTGTGGGATGCTCTGGGGAGTCAGGATGGAAAAGGCACTTGGCACTTTGAGTTATGGCCCAGGGTGAGAGGAAGGATTATGATTATTGCCAATTTAGTGATACAAGAACTATCTTTGGAGAGAGAGTATTTACAAGGGCACGTAGTGACAGGGCAAGGGGAAATGGTTTTAAACTGACAGAGAGGGGATTTAGGTTGGATATTGGGAAGAAATTAATTCATGTTGAGAAGAAGTCTAGGCACCAGTCAGGGTTTCTGTTAACTGCTATAACACACTGGAGTTGAACACTGTGACACTTCCCAGCACAGATCTTACAGCTGAGTTCCCAGTTACTGACAGTGAAGTGTAGACAGAATTTCACTTTACCTTGTGTCATGAGCTTTGGTGGTTTATTTTGGTTTTTAATGTCTATAGGAGCATAAGCAGCTGAAAAAATAGCTTCAATTACTGGAAGATAAGTCACCGTATTGGACAGTGTTCATCTCTAGAACTCTGTTGGGTTGTCAGTGAGGGAACACCCTGCTAAATTTTATTATGATCACAGCTTCTAGGACAGTAAAATACTAGTGGTGACAGTGAGACTTGCAGAATATTGGAGAATTTTAAAGGTGCTTAACACAGAATGAAGAGAAAACAGCTAAGGAACCTCTTTCCAGTGGCCTCTACTTGCTTCCCTTCATGGGCACAACGTATTTATATCCATGTATGTATTAACACATGTAAATAGGATGGGTAAAGGAAAAATTGGGATGTAGTTTACTGTGCTCAGGTCACACCATCTGATTTTTCAACTCCAGTAAAGCATTACAGTGGGCATGGAAATAGGGCCAGGGATGTAAAATTTTATCAATTTGTGGTTAAGAGGAAATAAAGCTCCCCCAGTTCTTAGCCTGTGCTTGAAGGAGCTGTTTGTGTGTGTCACTGTCTAACCCAGCTGCACCAGCCACAAACACCTGGGACAGTGTCCAGTAATTCCCTAGTTTTGCCCTGAACTCCCTCTTTTCTTTTTATTTCCAATATAATGCCTGAAACAGGGATGTAAAGTGTCCTCAGTGCAATCCCTGCACCAGGATCATCCAGAGCACAAGTCTGGATCTGCTGGCCTGTGATGGGATTCCTTTAGTCACAAAGCCCCACCATGAACATTTAACCTTTCCTTTCCTTAATGTTCTGATCTTTATTTCTTTTTGTGCCTGTTTTCAAGCAGCCCATTTCCCAGGTCTGAATGTCCCCCTCTAAGTGGTTCCAGGGACTATCCCTGCCCACCTCCTCCAGTTTATCAGCTCACTTTCCAGATGCAGTGGTGGTTTGCAGCCCTATTTGTAATCCCTTGATACTTTTGTTTGCATTCTCTTCCACTGATGTTTAATGAAGGAAGTGATATTATGGTATCAAAAAAACCCAGTGTTTCCCTCTGCACAAACAGAATGAGGTCACTTTAGGTAAAAGAAAACCATCTTAATCACAGGAAGAAAATGTGTGAGAGAGCTTTTAGACACGGAAAACAAGCCAGGCTTTTGCACCCTTCTCTAACTTAATAAATTAATAAACAGCTGTTTGGCTTTTCAAATTTTCTCAGCAGTAAGTGTTGTTAATCAATTTTTAATGGAGCAATTAAAAAGATATGAAAGCTGCTATCCAGCTTTCAGCAGAATAATTGATTTCTGTAAGACCTCAACTGTCTCCACTGCTCTGCTTCAGCATAAGAGCTCCACAGAGATCATCTGAACAGACCCAATGGGAGGCAGAGGAAGACACAGCTATGTTTATTTGAAAAAGTCTTCCAAAATGTTCCTGGCAACCTAATGGCTCAAAAAATAAGGCCACTGTGTATTTTGGATGGCAGGCATTTATTCTGCCTGCATATTTATGAGGAAATAAAACACCATCTAAAATATTTGGCACCTCGGGCTGCAAATAATGCTTCCATAATTCCAGTAAGAATAACCAAAATGAAGCAGTAATTATATGTGTTTAAACACCAAATCTGCTGAACTTTTCAGTTGAAAAATACGAGTCCATATCCGTAGGAATTCCCAAACCTGGTGTGTTATGCCCTAGAATTGAGGTTGGTATTGCCAGAGCACCCAAAGCAGTGGTGCAGCACCACTGTCCTGGGGTGTCTGGTGGTACATTCTATTCTGCTTTATTATATAAAAGAAGGTTTGTATTATCTTGGGTGTTTAGTGGGAGTGCCAAAATGTGGAGACTGGTCTCTGGTTTTAGGTTTCTCAGCACGTCACTGAGGATGAGGTTGGTGATCTCACAGATGTTCTCTTGCACACTCAGTGGCTTTGATCACCTGTCCTCGTGCTCCTGAAAACAGAACGTGCTCATAAACAACTGCAGAGTTTGCCCAACTCGTTAAGGTACACCCAGAAAGGATTTAATAAATGTTTAAGCTCTGTAGGAGGCCCAGGGTGTGTTGCCCTATCCCTGTGTCCATCCCATGCCAGCAGCATTCCTTCCATGGTTACACTACAGGTGAAACCCTGCTCCTGAAATGCTCTGTTCCTCTGTTCCAGGTCATTGCCTTTTGTGATGTTGATGAAAAGAAAATAACAAAAGGATTCTACACTTATGAGGAATCTGAGGTGAGTTATGACCACTCTTGTGTTCCTTACTGTGACCTGGAGTGTCCTGGGAAATGTGATGAAGGAGTATTTCACTGATTTTAAGTCTTATACAGCAACTCATTTTGGTAAGGAGGCTGTGAGAGAAGACTGGAGGGCTGGGGGTTGACACTGGAGTCCAAACTGGAGCCACGACTGTGGGCCTCACACTCACTGCAGTCAGTTTGGAAAGACAAAAAATACTCTGAATGGATTCTGAGGATGGGTAAAAGACAGTCTTCACTGACAGGTTTTTCTTTTAAGTGGGAGTAGAATTTCATTTATGGTGGATAAAAGAGAAAGGAACCCTCAAAATAAAAAGTTTTTGAGCAAGTTATCTTGTGAATCAAATTACCCTGAGGTTCCAAGATCCTTATGTGTGATGGGAGTAGGACTGAGAGAGGGTGGAAGGGCAGGAGGGGCCCCTCCTCAGGTACAGCTTTTGCTTAGCCTGGAGTAACTGTCCAGTCAGGTTCTGTACTGGGAAGCCAGGGAGTGCTCTGAGCTGCATGAAAGAAATTGGAATTCAGGATTTTGACCTGCAATGCTAAGGACTGCCTGCCTACCAGTGTCAGTATGATTGACACAGATCCTGGGCATTTGTCTTCCTAAGATGTATCCATCCTCTCAGATCAGTCATAAAGAAGGTTGTGCTGCAACCTGTGGTGAATCCTTAGGAAATTCTGCAGCTGGGATCCATGGGGAAGTCCCAGTTGGGCACAAGCCATTCAGTGACTTCCACGGGGAGGGAAAGATGCTCCTCCATCTCTGCTCTTTTGCTCTGATGCTCTCTGATGGCACAGGAGCTGATGCAGCTCAATCAAGTGGCAGAAAATTAATCCACAAAAAAACCAAAGTATTTTTGGAGGGGTAGGCTGTTGAAGCTGCATACCTTGCAATGGAATCAAAGAGGGGGTTGTTTAGGGAAGAGCTGAAAGCTTGGAGGTAAGGAAGAAGCAATGGAGGAGAGACCCACTCCTTTCAGCAGCAGAAAACTCCAAATTCGGATCTGTGTGATGTGTAACTTCACTCAAAGAAACACAATTCACTGAAAAGTGATGGCACAGGAATAAGGGACTGAAATGCCAGTCAAAGGAGTGAGGGTGGGACCAGCTGCACTGGTCAGCATGAGGGCTCTCAATAATCTTTTCTCCTTTTAGAGTTTAGCAGCTCCTAAAACCAAGCAAGTCACCTGTGTGTCTCTCTGCTGCCTTTTCCTGCAGGAGAGACCAAAACCAAAGGTCCCTGTGTGTCACTTCAGAGATGCAGCTCCACCTTTCATCATCTGTGTGAAGCTGGTGAGTGTCACCTGCTGCTTCACCTGCAGCAGCAGGACTTGCTCCTTGGGAAAATGAGTTTCTGTTTACTGAAAGTAGCTTCTCCCAGAAGCTTCTGCTATGCAATTGAATGGCTTTTTTTTTATCAAATTGATTGTCCAGGAAATTATTTCAGGAATTTAAACCAGCAGTATTGGGTAGAATTAAGAGTAAGGAAAGGTACAGGAGCTTGGATCTGTTGTACTTCCTTGCCCAACACCATTATAACACAAATGAACATATGTGCTCAGCCACCTGCTCTCCTTTAGTCCTGATATTTTGCAGCCCCATGTATGGCAAAGGCTTTGTTTTTTAAATCAGGCCTGAAAAGCCTTTTTGTTTGGCACTGCCAGTTCTGAAGCATCCTCTGTGCCTGACTGTGGCAACTTATTTCAATTGTTATAACTGACCTGATAACATAACTAGAAGATGATAAGCAGCAGTTCTTTTGCTGTTGTAACACAGTGTATGGGATAACACAGAAGCTTTAAGGCAAAATAGCAAATGCATTCCAGTTGCAAACACTAGTCAAAAACTTTCTGACAGTAACTAAAACCTGCAGCTACACACAAACACTGACAGTTTTAACACTGTCCTAGACCTGTTCAGAGATGGATTAGCTGAATCTCATCTCCTCTGGTACAGCCTGCTTGTAACTTGGCACTCCCACCCTCACCATCAACTCTGAGATTATAACTATGGGTTGTAAAGCCAGACTGAAAGTGCCTCAGGGCATTATCGTGTACTCTTGGTTGATAAAACTCTTGGATCAGCAAGTAATATTACAACTAATTGAATTTTTCGTACTACGTACGATTGCGGGTTGAAGTCCCCAGACAAAACATCTGTGCAACCTGTTCTAAAGCACATTTAATCTGGGAAGCCCTTACAATGAGACTATTATACAACATCTTGTCTGAAAACTCTGCTCCATGACTTCAGTTGGGATTTCAGTCTATTTTTCCTCTGAGCATTTTCTGCTTGCTTATTCTTTACCAACCCAAGTTTATCCCCATTCTTCTTCTGAAGGAGGTGTCCTTTAAGGGGCTTTACTGGCTTTTATTTTGCTATTCCTGGTAGGGGATTATTTTTCATTTTGATACAGACAAAACCTGCATGTTTCTGTGCAGCTCTAAGAGGGTGATTCTGGAGATTAGATGTGTTTATTAAGTGGGTTGTTTACAAGAAGTGACTCTGTTGGCCACGTCCTTGGAGCAGTGTTGGCTTATTTATTTCTTCAGGCTTTGGTACCAGTGCAAATCCTTCTGGATGAAGCAGGAATCCTCTGATCTTTGCTCAGTTTGCATTTTATAGTGGCTTCACAAAGGGCTGGAGCTGGAATTCTGCTCTGTGTGTGTGTATGTCTAAGTTTGTGCTGAGGAGGGTAAAAGTGTGGCTGTATCTGGTCAGAGCAGCCACTGCAGAACCACTTCACCCAAGGGCTTGTGCTCTGGGTTTGCTCTCACTTGGAGGTAAAAGCAAAATACTTAGAAAATGCTGTATTGTGCCCTGTTTTGGCTTGGATTCCAAGGGCTGGAAATGAAAGGGGTTTGTATTTTTCTGTTGCAGCAATTAAAGTAGTGTGATTGTGTAAAGTTTTCAGAAAATTTGCTGTTAGACCAGTTATTGTGCAGCCCTGCCTGGTTGTGCCACCTTCTGTTTAACTTTCCCACTTCACTTATGATCTGGGCTCTTTTATATATTTCTTTTTAACCCTTCTGTAGAGAAGCTTGTTTTTCCAGCAAGCTAAACACAACTGTTCCATACCCTGTGTGGAATCTTGGGTTTCTGGAATCATTAGTGGAGGCTAAAGGTCACATCAGGACCTTCATTTCTGAGGAGAATTCCCTGTTGATGTGAGTGGCAAGTTCTGCAGCTGGACCAGTTGGGCATGTTGAGAACCATTAAATGTCTTTGACATGCTCCCAGTGTGTCCAGGGGAAGCTGGATGCACAGTCCTCCATGGGAGACAAACCTTCATTTCTAAACTCAGGTTCATTAAAGATCCCAGAGTAATTTTTTTCTAAATCCAATTATTCTAGCCAAGCCTAGCATTCCACCTTCTTTAATTCCACAGTTTTATCTGGATTCAGTTTTGTAACTTCCCATCCTAAACACACTCAGAGTGGTGTTTTACATGGTTTAAACTTCACTGTTGCTGCTCTGGACCAACACAAGAACACAAGCAATTGCATTATCTGCCTCTTCTGGTATTGTCAGCTTTAATTAGGTTTTTGGTGTTTTTTTTTTTTTGGTGGCATTCCTGAAGCTCAGTCGGATTAAGGGCTCCAGGAAGACCCCAGCAGAAATGCTCAGAAATGCTGAAGTTGCCATGTTTTCTTAGTGACATCACTGAGGTTGCTCATGGAACAAACCTCCCCGGTTCCTGCCCCGATAACACAAGTGGGGGCTCAAAAGGAAACACCTTTAGCTCTGCAGAGTATTTCAGTTGCCTGATGAAAGGTTTGTTTTATCAGACAAGCTAATCAGTGCTCAAAATTCAGCCCAACCACTTGTTTTGTCAAAGTTGGCCCATTCTCTGCCAATGCCTGCACTAGGAAACAAAAGGAGCAGAGCTGGGCTGAGCAGCTACAGAGCAGCACAGGGGTGAGCTGATGATTTGTCTGATATCCCCCCAGACTGATCTGAACACTAACTTTTCTACAGACACTTAATTTTTTGAATGGAAACGTTTCTGAGCCTTGGCTTATTTGTTTAGTTCTGCAAATTGGATTTTCTTCTGTGGTCTGAAGAACTAAGTTACCTAAACTTGTTACAACCTGAAATGAATTTGTTTGATTGATTTAATTCTCTTGTTCTCCCCTTGCAGGATTTGACAGGTGGAGTGTTTGAAGCAAACCTGGACATGCTGAACCTGAAGGAAGGGATGGATTATTATCACTTTAACTAAACCCAAGGTGAGGCAGTGGGACTGAAGCTGTGTTATGGGTGCAGGAAGACCAAAGTCTTCAGAATTTTTTAGTAATTTGTGCTTCATTAATTTACTCTTTGGGCTGAGTAACCCCTTTCTAAGGGAGGTCATAGTTACACCATGGGTAATGCTGTGAGCTCATTGCACATCACTCAGTTTGACTTTAAATTGTATATCTAATTTAAATACCCACCAAACACAGCCCAGAGGGTTACCACACTGTCACCACAGGGAAGCCTCAGGCAAAGCCTGAAGCACTGGAAGAGCAGAGAGGTTTTTATCACACACTGCCTGGAGCTCTCACCCTGTCCCTGCTCCCAGGAGCAGCTGCTGGTGTTTGCCAAGGGCTCTGCACAGGGGCAGGACTGGGATTCAAGGAGAACATCCTTGGATTTGGGGCTGTGTGAGCAGAACAGCTGTGTCTGTGACAGTACCTGAACAGCTGAGGAGGAGGAGGAGGAGGATGGAGGCTCAGGGTAAAGTGACAGTGGGCAGTGGAGTTGGGTGACTCATGGGTGGCTCTTCTCTGGGACTGAATCAGATTTTAGAGACTGGAAGTCAATTGTAATTAATATCCTAAAAGAGCAGGATCATCCCATTTGCAGAGATGTGTCTATAAACACACACAGCCCCTGTTCAAGTGCTGGGAGAGTGGGGTTTAATTAGAGCCATCAAATAACAGTGTAATTACAAGATCATGTGGCCTGTGCATTTGCCCTCCCTGTCACAGGAGTCTCACTAAAGATCAGTGTTGGAGCAGTTTCATTTTATAGGAGTAAGAAATAGGCTGGCAGGTACTTGAAGAACTGATTCACCTCAAGTCTTCAGTAAAATAAAGCTACTTTACCACAGAAACCATTTGCCTGAATTAGTTATACAAAAAGTATTTAAGAGAGGCTTTAGCTGAAATGAACCTGGATTTTTTTTTTTTGTTTGACTGTGGCACAGGAGCAACAGATTTCTCCACTTGATGAAAAACCAATGCTTTAGAGAGCAGTGCAGCAGGTCAGGTTTAATACTCAGTGTGTGGACAGCAAGCACAAGCTCTGTTCAGTTGGGACATACAAATCATTGACATCAGAACAGACGGGTCAGAGTGACAGAGCATGACAAGAACCTGCCACGTAACATTAAAAACTGCAAACAGTGGGTTTTGGTTGCCTTCCTGTGGCACATCTGCACTGTGCTTTCAGACAGGCTCTGCCTCTTCTGTCCAGCAGTGTCCAGTTCAGCTCCTGCTGAGCTCCAGCGTGCCAGGATGCCATGGCACAGCCTGCTCCCATCCCCACGGCACTGGAGCCACGAGCTCCAGGTACAGACCAGTGGCTGCAGCTTCCTCATGCTGAACTCTGCCAGAGAGAGAGGAAAAAGAGAGGTCACAGGGAGCAGATAGGCAATTCCAAACTACCTGCATTGGAGTGACATGGGACCTACAGTCTGTCTCCCTGTATCCTTTTATATCCCATTCTTCCTCTCGGGCAGTGTTGGAATCCTGTGCTTTGCACAGCACCTCACATCATCCTGCTGGTGCAAGTGGGAAGATTTTTATGTTTTTTCCTTTCTCCAGGAAGGGCAGAGGAGCAGTGTCTGACCATCTGTGCTGCATCATCTCCCTGCTGGGTGGTGTCTGAGATGTCCCACTGCCAGCCTGGGATGCTCCCAGGGAACAAGGCTGGAAGGGCTCAAGGCAGCACCTTCGGCCACTCCACGTGTTCTGCTGCTGGCTCAGGACACCCCTCCTGGTGCACAGGGACACCTCCATGAGCAAACACCCCCCTGGAGCACATTCCCACCTGTACCTTGGACACCAGCTGAGGTTTGGGCACTTTCAGGAGGTCACAGAGGCAGTTGCGTCTCTCCCTCACCACGGGCAGTTCTGCTTCCCTGGGGGAGGAAAGGTTTGCCAGTTAATTCACAAATTAAAACTGAGGGTGCCCATGTTCATACACAACATCTTAAGTGATCCATGTTACTACTGGATTATGATGATCTTTTCTGTACATTTCAAATTCTAGGAATTTTTGTTCTGTCACATTTTAAGAATAATGAAACATTTTTGTACCATCTTAAGGCAGATAACCCATAAATACACACCAGGTCTGCCACAGGTAACCAGTTGCTACTAAAGTGTCCAAGACTATTCTTTTAGAGTTTTATATAAAAAAAAAATAGCACTTATTCATATAACACTTTAGACTACAGTTCACTAATTTATTCTCTAACATTACTGGATTTGGAGAACACTCTACACTCTCCAGAAGCTTTGTCCTGAAATAGAAAAATCCAAACCTAAAATATGTGAGGCTTTTAAAAAAGTTTCTGAAATGGCATCATGTCCATGAGATAATTTCTTCCAGAACTGTCAGTTAAAAAAAGCCCCCAAATGCCCCAAATCCCTGGAAGCAGAATTCTTTTCCATGTGGCAGAACCCTGTCCCTCAAACTGGAATGCTGGGAGGCTGCTGGTCCTGCTCACCAGGGCAGGACATTTATTTGGGGTTTTCTTAAGTAATGACTGTAAACGAGCAATTAATTACAAATTTAACTCTTGGCACATAAAGAGTCCAAAACTACAGAGAAAAAGCAAAAAAAAAGGCAAGTCAGAAATAACCTGAACTTTCTTTTTTTACACCTTGGACAACGTGTCTTATTTACTCCTGGAAACCTTCCTGTGGCTAAACAACATGTATTATTTATAGAGTAATTTGTTTAAACTCTGCATGACACAACTGCATGATAAACTCTCTGTAGTCCCAAAAGGAACAAATGTGTGTATCCCAGTAATTACCATCTTCCCCCAAACGAATTCTCATTTGGCTTCCTGCTCTTAGTGCTTGGTGTAATTCAGAATTCAGAATGGTGTTTTTAGCACTGAGAGAGCTTGAGGATAACAAGCAGCTCACTCTGACACTCAGCAACTGCTTCAAATCTCTTCTTCTGTAAACAGCCCCAATCTACCAAGATTAAACAATTAAGTTTTGAGTAAACGAGCTTTGTCTTTCATCTCAGAGCAATGGCCACACTGCAAGAGGGTACTCAGGGCCTGCTCCAGGCCAGAATAAACCAGGCACACCCTAAAAATGACAAGGTGAAAACACAGTATTTATTTTTCTGGAGTGGTTTTGGGGGAATATTTTGCTTTGCTGTAATAACCCCTTTATAAGCAGAGCTGAACTACCACTGCTTTTCCTGGACTTCTAATTTTGGCCCTGTAACCACCCCTTGGTGACAGCAGCCATCTCGTCCTGCTCCAGTAATTCTGTTAAAATGCTTAATGCAATTTCTGAGCAAGTCTGCTCTTAAATGCAGGTTTCATAAGTGAGCACTGAGTCACCCCAAACACAATCCTAAACCTCCATGTGCAGTTAAACAAGGAACTGTAACCACAGGCAGAATTGCTGGTAACCAATCCCTCAAATCCGAGACTGTTGCTCTAATTTTGCACTGGAAAATTCAGAAAAAGAGCAGCAGCTATCCTTCACAATAACAAACTCAGTTTTCTTTTCCCAAACATAAAGTTATTTAAGCTCCAGCACAGAAATAAACTGGAAAGTACATAAAAGTCAAACAATGTAGCATGGAGTCTGCAAATCTGTGATCCAGCCTGAAGGTGTATTTTGTTCTTTGAACTTGTCTGGGATAATTTTATTTCCATGAAATGTCAGTGGAGACAAAAAGCCATTGAATATAATGACTAAATAAATTATATATTTTTTTAATATATCTGTCTGTTCTCTTGTATCAACTGTGCTGTGTGGGGCAGCAGCCCCATGGCCCAGGTCTGGGACAAGGGAAAATGTTTAACGTGGCAGCAAAAGTAATAAACTAAATAGTACCTTAGAAATCCATGTTCCCTCAGATCTCCAAGCCCTGCAGCCTTTTATCAATCTGCCCAGGTGATGATAATGCTCAATGCTAAAATATGCAGAAAGGGAAAATCCAGGGCCAAAATGCTGGGTCCCTGCTCCTGTCACAGTCCCCTGCCCTGAAAGTCACTGTCCTGCTCCAGTGGATTGTGCTCATGGAGAACAGCACCCTCTTCACCTGCCCTTGGAAGAAGCCAAAGGTGCAGGTAAAAGTAGGTAAAAAGATGAGTTACATTCTATAAAGTGGTTGTTTAATTCATGCCATCATGTGCCTGGGAAACATCTAAACTGTTCCAATTCCAAATGTTTGCTTGAATACAGCACTTGTAGCATGTTGAGTAATTACATTTCATGGGAGATTTGAGCTGTTCTGCTAATTCTGTTGTTTTCCAGCTTGCAGAGATCCTTCCTTTCCCCAAATCCTGCCATAAATGCCAAGAAACTGTCTGTGCAGTTGCAGTTTGACTGTTTGCATATCCCTGTCTCTGTTTCATGGAAAACTTCCAAGATTTCCTCCCTTTTTATGCTGTTAGAAAAATATAGGTATTTTGCTTTATCTAGTGGTGATTTTACACACCCCATTTTCAGTGGGAGAGTGAACTGGATAGTTCTTTAGAGCAGAGGAATTCCTTGCAGCAGTGCTTTTAAATGCATTAAATAGACGAACCCACGGAATCATTTCTTACAGCTTCCTCCCCACCAGCTCTCAAAGGCATCCATCAAACTTCTGTTCATTCAGAAATTATTTCAGCTCTTATTTCTGTCTGGCACAGCTGCACTTACCAGTTGGTGTCACTGAGGATGGCCATGACCTCGTCCATGATGGCAGGATCCACCACGTCGCCGTAGGTTATCAGCATCTCGTACACCTGGCTGGCCGTGGTCTTACGGATCTGTGGGGAAAGGGGCACAGGCAGAGTCAGGGAAGCATCCACAATCCCTAGGGAAGAGACCAGTGCTGTCACTGGAACTGGTCTCTCAGACTGGCTGCCATGTTATGGTGGCCACTGAGTCCACTCCTGCCCCTGACAGAGATTTGCAGCAGGAAGGGACCTTGTGTTTGCACCTCAGGGAATTCCATGTCTGCACCTCAAAGAATTCCTACAGTTTCTCCCTAAACCCTTCAGTATTTCCCATCTGGAAGGCCACAGCTCTGTCCCTCACAGGGAATGAATTCAAACATGTGAGCCTGGTCCGACTGGAACATTCCTTGCAGTGACTCACTGAGCCAAAGCCTGGCTCTAACTTTGTTTGCTGCAGGCTCATAAAACCCACTTCCCAGTCTGGAGATTGGAAGAATCAGCAAAACTCTTGGGAAAACTGCTGGGAGATGGCATCAGCCTGACACCTGGCATCAGCCTGTCCTGTTGTGGAACAGTTCCTGTGCCTGTTCTTTTCCCAGAGCTCAGGTCAGCAGTGACATTGGAGGGGGCACACACAGAGCTGGCCAGGCTGGCTGCTGAAGCACAACAGGTAGAAAGATGCTAACTGGAAGACAGCAAAATTCCAACAAAACCAAATTTTTTTCTCTAGACAAAAGCCTGATGGTAACCAAAGGAAGGCAAAGGAATTATAATGTTATTTCTGGACTAGAAGTGCCAAATTGAACTGACCCACCTGTAAAAACAAAACACATTTGTGATGTAAAATACCCATAAAATGTGAAACTGAAATGATCTCTCCCCATTTCTTACATTGTGCCCCTGCAGCAAAGGATGCCTCATGGAGCAAATACACACAACATGGAAACAGAACAAATTTCTTTTCCTTGAACCAGAGCTGCTCCTGTGTTGCTGCTCTCAGAAGTATCACAGAACTAACAGCAATTTATCTGCTTGGAGCTTTCAGCACTAAATGATGAGCAGATCTTCCCTGTGCTGGGGGCTCTGTAACAGAAAGAAATGGCTGAGCCACCTGCTTTGCTCCC